GACTATACCAAGTGTCAGCAAGGAAGTGGAACTCTTGATACACTGCTGGTGGGGATGTAAAATGGTACAACCACTTGGGAAAACAGTTTGGCTACTTCTTAAAAATTAAACACACACCTCACATATGACCCAGGAATTTACTCAAAAGAAACAAAAGCACATGTCCACGGAAAGAAAGGTTCAACCCTAACCCTAACCCAAACGTTCACAGCACGTTTATTTGTAATAGCCAAGAACTGGAAACAATCCAAAGGTCCACCAACGGTGAATGCGGCAGCAAGCTGTGGTCCTGAAGGGCCTACGGACCCAAGCAACAACCTGGATGGACTGCAACATGGTTAGGCCGAGTGAAGGGCCTCTGACAAAGAAAGGACAAAACAACTACAGGAGTGACCGGAGGCAGACCAGTCATTGCCTGGGACCTGGGGGCGCAGGAGAGAGAAGGCCAAGCCAGATTACAAAGAGGCAGGAGGAGACCGGGGGGCGGTGGTTACTCAGCATGCTGACTGTGGCAATGGCTTCACAGGTGTGTGCACGTACATCCAAACTCATCAGATGTACGCTTAAACACATCAGCTTACTGTATGTCAATTATACCTCAATAAAACTGTTTTTAAAAGGGTGGCTAGAAAAAAAGACACCACAAAGGTTGAAAAGACAAAGCACAAACTGGGATAAAATACTTGTAACACATATAACCAACAAAGGATCAGGAATATAAAAAGGGATAGGGAATTTATAAAGAACTCCTACAAATCAGTAAGAAAAAGAAACCACACTACGGAAATCTGGGAAAAGATACGAACATTTCACAACGGGAAAACATGACAGGATGCTCACCTTCATTCATTAGTCATGATCTACAAACTAAAACCACAAGGAACCACATCACACCCACCGGGTGGGAGGAAACAGACCCCGCACAACACCAAGGTGTCGGTGAACACCCACAGCGATGCACGCGGAACACGCACACAGGGAAGCATCATCCAAAAGGCCGACCCGCGAGCGCTCCAGGGCTGCGTCACACTGTGCACAGGCACCAGAAATGTCCACAGCAACCAATTTGTACAATAAGCAAAGGCTGGAAATAACCTACATGCCCGGCAGTAAAGGACAAATTGTGACTTATTCATAAAATGAAATACTATGCAGCAGTGAAAACAGACACCGCTGTATGTTTCAACGTAAATGAATTGCAGAAAGAGTGCTGAGCAAAGATTCAATCTGCAGAATACACACTGTGCAATCCTATTTCCACTAAGTACAAACACAGGCAAAAGTAAATGTTGTGTAGGAGGATATTAAGTGACAGAACCATAAAGAAAAAGAAAAGAACAAGTCACACAAAATTCGGTGGTGGTAACTCCTGGTGGGGGTGGGAAGCAGCACAAAGCAGACTGCTCAGTTCCTGCTAACGCCCTACTTCTTAAGCTGGTGTCACAGGTACAGGTGTTCATTTCACTATTTCACCTGAAAGTACACCTTTTATATCCTTTACATACGTAACATACTTCACAATAAAGGATGCTTTAAAAAACTACAACGGGTTAATGACAGGGAAGGATGACAGTAATGGGAAGGACAGGCTGAGTCTGGTAGTTCAGAGAAGGCGTCTCCAGGGGGGCAGGGCAAGGAAGGGCCCACACCCCAAGAGGAGTGTGCTGCTGCAGCACCAAGTGGGGCTGGGGAGACGCGCCGGGGCGCAGGCGTCAGTGAGGTCAGAGGCGAGGGAAGGGCCAGAGCACACAGAGCCTGAGAAGTCACTGCAAGGGCTTCTGGACAGAGCGACCCGATCTGACTTTGCTGTGCTGAGAACAGAGCCAAGCGGGGCAAGAGAGAAGCAGACCGCCGTCAGGACTGGGCTGCAGTTACGCAGGCCGGAGGTGAGTGGCCTGAGCCAGCACTGGACTCTGGATAAATGAGTAAAGTCAAAAGGCAGGCCAACAGGTTACACTTGGATACAGAAGAAAGTGAGTCCTCGAAAGACCAATCTAAGGTTTTGAGCCCAAACAGCTGGAAGAATAAGGCCGCCACTGAGACAGGTAAGGCTGTGGGACAACGGTGCAGGAGCACAGCGGCTCAGTGCCACACGTGTAAGTTTGGAGTTCCTACTAGACACCGTACTGGGTTGAACAGCGTCCCCCAGAACCCGTGAAAGTAACCTTATTTGGAAACGGGGGCTGTGCAGATGTAATCAGGTTAAAATGAGATCACGCTGGATTAGGATGAGCCTAAACCAGTGACTGGTGTCTTCATAAGAGGGAAGACGACCACGGGAAGACAGGGGCAGAGACGGGAGTTCTGCTACCACTAGCCAAGGAGCACCGTGGGCTGCCAGCAACGCCCAGAAGCTGGCACAAGCAAGGAAGGATCCTTCCTAGAGCCTGTGCAGGGAGCTTGGCCCTGCCGACACCTTGATTTGGGACTTCCGGCCTCCAGAGCTGTGAGAGGATACACTTCTGTTGTGTTAAGCCCCTAGCTCGTGCTACTCTGCTACGGGAGCCCTGGCAAACTAATACCTAAGTCCATCTCTGATACTCCTAGAAAAGGCTAGACGATACACGAAGATGAAACATCGAGAAAAGATATCGGTTTAAGACACCTTGTTTCTTTTCCCATCTTTCTTTTTTTCTGGTTATAAGAACCTGAGCAAATCATTTTGTCTGTTATTCAATTTCCTATAAATTTGTAAAATTAGGGGCCTGAACGGAATCATAGCCAAGGTTCTACCACCTCTGAGTTTCTGCAGCTCTGTGACTATTCCAAATACAAGACAGGGGGCCTGAACCCCACCCAAATCTACCTAAACCCATTCCGCACAGAAGTTGCTTCTGTGAAGCCTACCTTTCTACTGGATGTGCCACCTTAAAATGTGGTAGGAGGGCAAACCAGACGCTAAGACACAAAAGACAAGAATCACTAAGTGGGATTTTATCATGTTCCTAAGATACCACATCAACAACCCCCGTCCCCAGCAACACACTGGAGTCATTTTCTACGGCTGATGTGACGATGACCACGAACTCAGTGGCTGAAAACAGCACCCACTGATGATCTCGCGGTTTCTGTGTGTCAGAGCCTGGGCACCGCACAGGCCACTTGGTTCTCTGCCGAGAGCCTCACAAGGCTGCCACCCCAAGTTCATTCAGAGGGCTGGCAGAACCCTGCTCCCTGCGGCTGCAGGACCGAGCCTCCAGGGCCCTCACCGCCGTCAGCCGGGGTCATTCGCAGATTCTAGAAGCCACCGTGGTCCTCAGCTCCTGGCCCAGCCACGGCAGGGGGTCCTCCTCCTGCTCTGGGTCTCCTGCCTCCCCTCTCCTGTCTCCTCTCCCAACTGGGGGCCTCACGTGACAATGGGGTTCCAGGACACTCTCCCCATCTTAATGTCAGCTCGTTAGTTACCTGTAAACAACATCTCCAAAGTCCCTTCACACGGTCCCAGGTCAGTGTGTGACTGAGTAACCGGGGGACGGGAGTCTTAGGGAGACACCTGTAGAGCTCTGTCTGCGACACACTCCAAAATGTCGTATATTTACACAAAAAAACACACATGATACGCTTCTGCGATACAGCTTCGGAAGTCAACTGCTATTTACGTTTTATTACTACAAATTGACAACATGGTTGAGATACCGGATGGGACTTTTTGTAAGCACAGAAAAGGGGAAAATATTAGGAAATACAAGCTCAACAATGCAAAGACTGGGCTGAAGCAGCCACCTAAATTCCCCATGCAGGGGTGTAACAGAGTCCTTCTCTACAGAAATGAGAAAACAGTACCTGCTGGCAGTCTAGAAACAGGGCCAAATAAACTAAAACAGATGCAGCGACACAGACCAGGATGGCAGGAAATGGCACGTGTTCCCAGACATCTGGCCCCCAGCCAGGTTTCCCATGAGGAGACAGAGGCAACGGCCCCCATCTCCAACCCTCTGTTCAGGGGGAACCATCTGTCCCCCCACTCTGCCCCCCAAAGTCTCCTCTAAATATACATTCTTACTCTAGAGAACGCTAGATGGTTATCTAGTGTTATCTAACCATTTATTTTAACGAGCCTGCATTTGCAACTCTGTGGTCTGCTCTAGCCAAACACTGACACCCCCTGCGCAGGGCCGCCAAGATGGTTTAGGAAACTCAGCTGCGTGCGTATTTACCAGTCAGCTTTACGACATTCGTTATTTTAGTTTACGTTCAAGTTTCTTCGGAAAGTGTCCTCAGTGTAATGACAACAGGAACAGCTCACGCTGCGGACAGCCAGCTGTCAGGTACCTGGCTAAGCACCCTCTTCACAGACGGGGAAAGGCAGAGGGCGACGTCCGAGGTCAAGGTCCACAACTAACAAGCAGAGGCAGGTGTGAACCCCCAGCAGGCTCCCTCCCACCTTGCGCCCAGCAAACACAGCGGCATCCATCCCCGGCTTCTCACAGCGACTCCTCCAAGGGAGCCTCCGCTGTAAAAGGGAGAACACGCTTCCCGCTTCTCCCCTTGCTTTCCCCAAACATCAGAAAATTCTGCGGGCTAAGAAAGCACGAAGGAGGCTCTTGCAACGCTACCCGGGAAGAATGGCAGGTGGCAGGGTCCCAAAACCCTGTTCCCTCGTTAAAGAGAAAACCCAAATCTGACCTTTCGCCTCCGCCTCATCAGTACGCGATTACCCTCCTAGGACGCTTCCCGCAACTTCTCACTAGGCCGGTGAGCTGTCCTCCGCCCGGCCCGCCGGCGTCCGCGAGGCTGGGTCGGGGAGCCCTCCGGTTACTGGCAGAGCCGGAGCCCAGGGTCCCCAGACCAGAGCCGCGACGGCGTCTCCCCGCCCGGGGTCGCGGGCGGCCGCCAGCGACCGCACGAAACGCGCCCCGACGGCGCACAGACTGGCCGGGCTCGGCGGCGGACCGAGTCCACGCCCCGCACCCGGACGTCGGGGCGGCCGCCAGCAGCGTGCGGGCGGGGTCGCGGGGCCCGGCGGGGGGCCGAGGGGCGGCGCGCGGCCCTGAACTCACGTTTGTACTCGGCCATCAGCCTCTTGAGCGCCGTCCCCGCCATCTTCCGGGCAACAGCTGCGCCGTCGGCCTCGCCTCCTCAGCGCTCCTCCCTCCCGCCCGACGCCAAGGCCGCTTCCGGGTCGCCGCGGGGGCACAGGAGCCCTTCCGGGACGCGAGGCGCGTGCGCGGGGCGGGGCGGGGCGGGGCCCTAAGCCGCTTTGTGGGATCAACGCCGCTTCCGGGGATCCGGATTCCGGTAGGGAACTCTGCAGAAGATCCCGGAGCAGCGAGCGCCCGCAGAGTGTGTGTGAACCGCCTGGTCCGTCCTCGTGGCCTCAGGGCGGCCCCGACGGCGGGGACGGGGATGGGGGATCGTGGACAGAGGATGGAGACGGCGGGGAGGGCGGACGAGGGGGGCGGTGGGCAGGGCTGGCCACTCGCGGGCCGGATGAGCAGATGTCGTTCAGACTATTTGCTGAAGGTACACCGTGGACGGTGTCGGGGCTCCCTCGCTGTCACCCGTGCAGTTCAGAGGAGGCGACTTTCGGGCCCAGCTGCAGTCAGAGCGAGAATCCACGCGGAACACATTTGGTGCCCCGGTGGCTACCCTCACACCGCTTTAGGTTTGAAAAAGTGAGATTGGCGATTGTGGCGGTTTTATGCCGTGTCGGTGTGGTTCTGGATTCCACTCGGCCAAGAGAGGAGCTTTGGGAGCTCGAGGTGGGAGCAGAGCAGCGGCCAGACCCCTCCCTCACCCCAGGTGTGGATGGGCTCCCCTCCCAACCGCCAGCCTGCTGACCAGCAGCTCCCAGAGGCAGCGGGTCCAGACTTCCCCACGGCCCCCTTGGCAGTCCCCCAGGCCACTGCTTCAGGAGGCCAGCAAGGGGCCATACACCGCCCCCCCCCCCCGCCCCCGCTGCTGCTCTGGCTTCTCCACTGAGTAATGTGCATCGGATAACTAGACTGGCGAGTCTTTTTTTCGTAACATTCATGGTGGTTCTACTGACTGGCCCACTGATCTATCTGTTGATCTATTTATTTATGCCTCTTAGAACCCCATTCTTACTTCAGAGAAAGTCAGCACATTTAGTGCTTTGTGGCAAGGATATATACACCTTTTAAAAAAGCAAAGTTTTTATCTTCACAACACATATCCAACGTACTCCTCTATAGAATTTCTATGTAATGTCCTGTATAATTTTTTAGCGCAGTACACAACTCATCTGTCTCCCGTAACCAGAAACATGTCCCATGAGGGCAGGGTGTTCTCTTCTCGTGTGTTCCTGGATGCAGCCTCAGTACCTGGACGTGGCAGGAGGTATCTGTCGAGTTGAATAAAATTAAACAATTCGCACAAACCTCACAATGGTGCATATTTTGCGGTAGAGGTGTCACAAGAATTCAGTCTGACACTGTCTTTTCAAATGACCATGGTGATTTATAAAAACAACACAGTACTTGTAGACAGTTCCAAAGAGTAATGGATTTGCACAAATACTCATGCGCTTCACCTGTTCAAGCAGTTGCCCTCTCTGCAATCAAACCACACCCCACTCCCCAAGCCGGTCAGGGGTCAGAGGGTGTGGTTCCCATGGAGACTAAAGGAAAACTCCACTCGGTCACCTAAAGGAAGTGTGGGTGATGAAAAGCATCGTCATCAACATTATGACGCTCAGACAACAGCACCTGTCAGATGCTGGGTATTTTCTTAGCTGCGTCCACGTCTGTGTCACTGCTGTCTTTGTCACATCATTTTCCTGTTGTAGAGCAGTGTGTGTATTCACAGCTTGTACCACGATTAGTTTCAAGTGACAAAAACCCAAAATATGAGGTGCTCAACGTAACAGAAGGCTCTCACCTCACTGGCTGGTGGGACGGCCTCCCCTTCAGGGAAGCAGGCCCCCTCCACACGTCTTCTCTGAGATCCAAGTGTAACTGGGCACCCTGTATTTTATTCACTCAATCTGGCAACTCTCTGCTCGGTCAGTCGGTCCTGGTATCCCCAGGGTTCTGAGTAGCAGGTGTGTGATATCAATACCTAGAGGCTTTGGTCCACTGGACAGGCCAGCAAGTTCAGAATAAACTAGTTTCTTTGGGAACTGAAGTTCTGAGGTACAAGAAGGATCTGCTTTTTGCAGTTCCTTTCCATGGAACCTGTGTCTCGTGGCAGAGCCAGTATTAACACAGGCTTCCCCACCTGTGCTGTGCAGCACAGCCAGGCTGGCATCGCCCGTGTGCCTGGAACTGAGGGGTCCTGGGACATGGGACTTGCGGTACCGGAACTGAGAAGGTGCCGGCTGGGACCCAGGGCACCAACAACAGCATCAATAGGGCCTGTCTCCTACTGAAGCATCAATTTAACCCAAAGCTTCTGGGAGTTGGGTTTGGGTAACAATATTTTAAAAACATCGATATCAACAGATTATTCCGAATGCACAATCTGCACACATTTCTAAGATAAAAGACAACCTCCAGGACGTTGCCTGCTCTTCGGTCAGGCAGCATTGTTCTAAGCTCCCAAGGATACAGCGCTGCTCCTAACCTAAGGCACCCCGGCGTGTCCCTCTCGGCACAAGTGCAGGGGCTGCCCTGTCGGGCTTCGCCACCCGCCGCGGCATCTGGCACACGACCCAGTCGCGGTGCTGCGCCTTCACCTCCTGCCGCTGCTGTAAGTGAATCAAGTGCTCCACTACCCGGCTGCCCTTGACCTTTCAACTTGCGCTTACCTCACCCGATGCACCCTGGTGCTGTCACAGCGTGGCACGCAGGGAAGTTCTCAAATTAGTGCCAACTCGCTTCCGTTTCAAACCGATGAGTGAGTAGCTTGTCAACTGCACCAAGGAAAAGTCTTATACTCAAACACCAAAAATATCGAGAAGTCCAGAGTAACGGCGACCCTCCACCCAGGACACCCAGGAGAGGACAGAGGAGAGTTCTGAGGGTGAGGGGGTGTCCTCGGCAGGAGACGCCACCCGCCTGGGAAGCCTGCGCGGGCGCAGGAAGGGGGGCAGCGGTGAACCGGCCTTTAGATCGAAGTCTGAGTGGCCTCGCTGGAGGGTCGCTGCAAATACTGAACATGACACAACGCCCAAGCTCCGTACGCAGTGCTGGATACAAGCCGAGAGACAGAATACCAAACTCTATTTACTGTCGACAGTAGTAAAGGACGACAAATGACGTACAAACGGGAATAAACACAACAGAGCCAGCAGACATCCCACCCGCGCCCGAAGAGCAAAATACAAAGGAAAAGCAGACATCTTCAGCGAGATGCCAGCCAGACAAGAGAGGACGGTGGTCGCGCTGCCCAGGTGACCCGAACAAGCAATGCCGGGCCATCCGGCGGCAGTGGGTCCACACACAAGGGCAACAGGACAACTATCGGAGTTTAACCAGGACAGACCCCAAATGCTTCACAGAACTGAAATCACATGTAACACGTAAACTCCATACCAACTTGGGGAGCAGAGCACAGTCCATGGGGAGACCCCGGAGCCGTCTTTCACTCGTAACCACACTTTGAAGCAGCTCTCTTACACAAAAACGTTAATTGCAAAATCAGCAATACTCAATCTTCCTTTTTTATATACAGACTGTCATTCATCAGAAGCAAATACTAGAAGAAATCTGAGGCCCCGGCACTATTACCAGGTGAGACGTGTGGGAATTACTTTTTTCTCTGTTAAGGAAAAGGGGAAAAGCCAACTTTCACTGCCCCTGAACAGCATCACTGGCCATGGGTGGCGATGGGTCCTGGGCCCCAGGCCCCACGCGGGGCCACGTTACTGAAGAACTTCTTACCTTTTAAGAAACATTCCAGTATTTTCCCTTCAACTTTACTATATTCCGACAAAGCTCACACTTGTAATGTTTAGCATTAAAAAGACCTGTGCCAGTAAGATAAGTGAAAGTTTGTCTCCCATCCCGACTGTGTCCCCAAAACTCACCCCACGGAAACACTCCCAGAGCAGTGACGTGAGTTCTCTACATGACTGGAATGGGTAGGGGCCAGTACCTGGGGTAAGAGCCCCACCTAGACGGAAAGTGGGCACTCGGGCCACAGGTTTGGGGGAAATGTCATAGGAGGGAGGAAAAACAAAAATGAAAGTAAAAACAAAACCAAAACCCCTCGCCATGCATTTTACCCAAACAGAGGTACCGGGGTGATGGGCCGGGGGAAACCGTGGACATCCCCGCGGCCGCACTGAAGTACATCAGAGAGCAAAGTCCTTCTGGGGAATGTCCTCGGTGTCTGAGCCTCCCTGGTGCGGGCATGGTCACACCTTCACTGTTCAATAGCGAACACGAGCGCAGTGACGCGAGGGGACGGTGGCTCTAGGGGCTGCACCCCAGAGGCAGCTGGCCGCCCCGGACCCCCCCGTCTGCTGCTGGAACACGTCGATGGTGTCTTCGTCCTCCATCTCCAGCTGCAGGCACAGAGGGGGCAGTGAGTATCCTCACGTCACAGGAAGGGGTCCCACCCCGCTGAGCACCAGGCTCTTGGAGCTGCCCCCGCCCACGCCAGGGACACCACCCTGAGGTGCCTGAGCCCCGAGCCTGCCGTCGGTGGGCACCCGGGGACAGAGGCTGAGCTGTGGATTTCCAACAAGCCCGCTTACTCCCCAAGCTTCCCCTAACAAAGGAACGGTCAACATTAGGGACTTGACCCGATAGAAACACTAAGTCCTGTTACAAATAAACAAGTCTCTATAAAGTTTTACTGAAAAGTACAAACCGGCTAATGTTGCAGAGCCAGTATCCAGGCTACAAGTGGGTGGTGACCGCACGTGCCCGGCTCACCTGGAGCCTGCAGACGGCAGCGGGCATGGGCAGGCCCAGGCCTCGTCCCTGTCTCTGGACCACCTCCGCCAGGCACCCAACCCTCCTGGTCCCTCTCCCAACACAGAAGAGACTGACAAAGGACATCTTCCTCATTCAAAAACTGAACCTCAAAATTACAAAGTCAAATGATCTAATAATGAAAGCCATTAAGAAAATGTAGGGACTTCCCTGGAGGTCGAGTGGTTAGGACTCCACGCTTCCACTGCAGGGGACACAGGTTCGATCCCTGCTCGGGGAAATGAGACCCCACATGCCACAGAGCACAGCCAAAAAAACAATTTTTTTTGATAAATAAAGAAAATAAAAGGTAAGGTGGGTATTCCCTGGGGGTCCAGTGGTTAGGACTCTGCATTTCCACTACCGAGGGCCCAGGTTTGGGGAACTAGGATCCCGCAAGCCACTTGGTGTGGCAAAAAAAAAAAAAAAGAAAGAAAATGTAAGGTATTCTTTCTATGTGAGAAGCAATCGGTGCCTCTCAAATGCAAGTATTCCAAATGGAAGTTATGAAAGGCAGATCGGAAGAAGCCCTCAAGTATAGACAGGGCGGCTTTCCTACCTGTGCTGGGGTGTCTGTTTCATTAATTGGTTGTCCATCAAACCTGAATCGAATCTGTCTTATTGACAAGCCCTGAAAAGAAAAAGCAATCATCATTAAACATTTTCAGCTAACACATTAATTCAAAAAGAATCACACATTTGGGGCTTCCCTGGTGGCTCAGTGGTTGGGAGTCCGCCTGCCGATGCAGGGCACACGGGTTCGTGCCCCGGTCCGGGAAGATCCCGCATGCCGCGGAGCGGCTGGGCCTGTGAGCCATGGCCGCTGGGCCTGCGCGTCTGGGTCCTGTGCTCCGCAGCGGGAGGGGCCACAACAGTGAGAGGCCCGCGTACCGCAAAGAAAAAAAAAAAAAGCATCACACATTTATGTGGAAACACCAGATTTCTGAATATACGGATTTAGGACGCAGTTGACTATGAAGCCTCGCCAGTGGGGCTGCAGCCTAGTTCATGCGATGCACCCAGAACAACCTTTCAGACATTGCCGTTCTAGCACCTTCTAGCTCCTGGGGCTCCACCCTCATCCATCCCTCTCGCTTCCCTCCAGGTGCCGAGCAGAATTTCAACACCTTTGGCACCATCACTTCCTCCCCTTTAAACAATTCTCAGAAACAGGTCAGGCGACCCTGAGGCATGTGATGAGCAGCCTGCCTGAAGCTGGGAAGCGGCCCTTCTGCCTCCTGAGGGAACAGCTGGACGTGGTCGGGGGCACAGCCAGTTCTTCAGGACAGACAGGATTAAAACACCCGTCTCTGCTCCCTCCTGAAACCTACTGATGTGACATAAAGAAACAAGAAAAGGCATAAACAAGGACAAAGAAAACAGGAGAGGGGCCAGGCCAGCAGACAAAGGGCATCACCTCCAGGCTGGAAGCTACAGGGCTGTGGACCCTAGACCCCAAGGTCAGGATGCGGTGCGCTGGGGGGCAGGGGGGCGGACAAGAGCCCCGAGAGGGGCAGGGGCCAGGCACACAGGTGTAAGAGGCAGCGATGCAGCTGATGTGGGATGACTGATGGAAAGTCCATATCCGACTCCCAAAGCAGGGCCCCCAACCCCAAGGTCGGGCACTGTCCCTCCCACGGGCAGAAGGTCCCCGTTCTGGAGAGGTGGACTCAGAGCCCTGGGCTGGGGACACAGGCACAAACGGGGCAGTGACAGGTGGCCGGCGGAGGCAGGCGAGTGACGCCCAGTACACCCGGCGCCCCGCCGAGCTGCTCCTCCCAGCCGCCGCGCTCCCAGGGCACAGGCGGGAGCCTGAGGGCCACTCCGGGGAGACTTAAAGACTCACAGATTGCAACACTGGGACCCCCACAGAACACCCACCCGGGCAGGCCGCCCCGCGACAACATGCGGGCCCCGTCCACACACCAGGTGTACAGCTTTCCACCAGCTTTTTAGTGCTTCGTGCTTAAATACGAGCCGTCACCCAGGGAGAGAGGACAGTTAAGGAAAGACCAATGTGTGAGGAGTCAGAGCAAAGAAGAAAGAAACGGACGAGGAGGGCACGGGGAGGAAGGATCAGAGCTTGCCGGGACGCGTGCGCACACACGCACGCACGCACGCAAAGACGTGCAGAGACACAGCCGCGCGTGCACACGCACGTGCACAGATGCATACACACACCTGAAGCTCTTAGGGAGATAGAAAACAACAGAAAGTTCCCCTGGGGAAAAAGGAGCCTCAGAAAACGGGAAAGAACAGGAATTTTTTTTTTTTTTTTTTTTTGCGGTACGCGGGCCTCTCTCTGCTGTGGCCTCTCCCGTTGCGGAGCACAGGCTCCGGACGCGCAGGCTCAGTGGCCATGGCTCATGGGCCCAGCCGCTCCGCGCCACGTGGGATCTTCCCGGACCGGGGCACGAACCCGCGTCCCCTGCATCGGCAGGCGGGCTCTCAACCACTGCACCACCAGGGAAGCCCAGAACGAGAACTTTTAAAAATCAGAAATCATGACAGAAACAAGACGGTCCATAAAAAGTGGGAACATGAAGTTGAGAAAACCTCCCAGAACAGAGGCCAATAGCAACAAAACCCAATGCACGATGGGAGGAAATAATCCAGCTGAACACACCTGGAGCAGGTAACTGCAAGCCGGATGGGAATTCCAGTGAAGAGGGACACAAATTACCAAAGAACTAACAGAAGGTCTAGTTCCTGAACTAAAATGAGTTTCTAGACCGAAAAGGCCCAGAATGTGCCCAGAAGAGTCAATGGTAACACTGCCTCAAAGCACGCAAACAAGGTCCCAAAAGCTATCAGAGATAAACCAAGCCGCTAACAGAGGAGAGAGAATGAGAATGCCATTGACCTTTCCACACCAGCGTTGGAAACTAGACGAAAATGATGCAATAGCTCCAAGAAAAGAAAATGAACTGCAACCTCCGTGCACTCAAACATCCAAGGGTGAAGGTTTACAAAGCAACTCACTTTCCGACGTGCAGTAGTTTTCATGCCCTTTCCGCGCAAGATACCGGAGGATACGCTCCATCAAACAGGGGCAGAAGACTAATCCAGAAAATACACAGGAGGAGGCTCTGGGATGATGGCTGAGCAGCAGTCCAGGTGGGGCAGGGAGGGAGGGGCCCTGGGAGGGACCATGGGAAAGCAAAAGGCCCAGGAACGTGGCGGACGGTGCAGCACGATGGGAAATGCAGGGCATAAATTAACAAGGGGCCCCCAGAAAATGACACACACAACCACCACCAGACCAGGAGAAACAGGACTCAGACAAGAGCCAGAAATCTTCACAGGCCGCTGTGTGGCTCAGGGCTGGCGCTGCCCCAGTCAGGACAGAAGCAGGAGATTCCAGAGCGATGGGCTGGAGTCCAGGGAAGGAGCTGTGTGCAAGCGCGGGCGGTGGATGTGTGGATGGCAGGCCAGAGCTGAAGACCCACCTTTCACAGGCGAAAAAAAATCTCCAAAATCAAAGAACGTGAAGAAATAGAAGTGCAAGCATATTTACCAAAGAAAAGTGAAAAAAAAAGTTGGAGTTGAAAGTGATCTCCTCCGAGGAGCAAGCTCTGAAAAGTGGGGAGAAGAAGAGTTAGGCGTGGAGCTGTTTTAGGGTGTTTGTAATAATAACAACAGAAAGCCCAAGGCAAGGATTTATCAAAGCCAAGAACGGAAACTAACAAAGGTCCAGTATTTCGGAAGTATCCTGAGAAAAGCTGCCTCACCTGAAAGGACAGGCTCAGGGGGAGAGACGGGGCAGGAGCATCAGAGAGCACAAGGGGACCGAGGGGCCCAAGAGCACAGTCACACGCACACGTAACACACACTCCACACTCCGCGCAGTCAGTCTCTCTGGTCACCGTGGGAGGACATACGAGCACGGGCTCCTTATTTTGAAATGTAGTAAACCAAGGGCAAGAATCAAGCATCGTCTGGAAACTGAACTGTGTCGAGGGCAGCGGCTCCACAGACACAGAGGTGGAGGGATGAAATACCCGGCGAAGCCGCCACTCCGATCCCAGCAGCGCCACGAGGACATCACCAGACATCCACCCCTGACCGGGGACGACCGGGTGGCTGAAGAGGGAGTGACCGGCCAGCCTGGAGGGGCCAGGCGGAGGGGAGCGCCTCCGGGGAGGTGTGCACACACAGAGACACACACAGGCGCGCGCACTCCGGGGCCCCTCCCCGCACCTGGCGCTCGCAGTAGGCCTTCATCAGCTTGCTGAGCGGCGTGTGCCTCTTGATCTTGAACTGGACGACGGAGCCGTCCTGCCCCGCCACCTTCAGGTTGATGTGGCCGTTCTCCGTCTTCACTCCCTCCTGCAAAGAGACGTGAATCTCGGCCTCCAGCCCGTCGCCCCACAAACACCACTTTAAAGGCAAAGTGTTTGCGTGGCTGCTGGCCTTTTTTGAAGTCATGAAAACCACGCTACTTCTTAAAATTCCCCAGCAATCGGGTCACTCGTGTGATTGCTTGATTTCTACGCAGAACTTACTTTTCACTTCTACTTGCTGGGTCAGGAAACGCCCTGCCAATCTAGTGTTTCCACAGACTGTCAATTCAAGGGGGAAAGCCTGCTCAGTAGATCCAGAAAACAATGGAGAGAAAATCCATCTTTGCTCTAAGATCGCTCTCATGAGACTAGGAACCACACGTACGCACAGGTGATTTATACTTACGCACGCGGATGAATGAGACCCAACGACAGATGTTTCCAGCCGGGAAAGCGGGGTGCGAGTGGCTTGGGGTGCAGATGGCCCACAGCTTCCCTGCTCGCCACTAGGGAGGGCCACCCTCAAGTCCGTTCTGTGCCACCAGTCCCACCTGGACGGGGTCCCCGCCATATTCTATCCTGACATGATCCCGTAGCGGGGGTCTCTGGCCCCTGGAAACTACTGGAAGTTGATGCAAGAAGCTCGTGTTCAGAGCAGAGGCTCGGCCTGAGAGCACCGCTGGGGGAGACGGGAGTTGTTTACTTTTTAACAAAATGATGAAGCTGACCCCTGAGTCAATCTGCAGACGAGTTTGGATGGAGACCAAAGCGGGTCTGTACGCTGTCCAGCCACATGCTCTCGTCCTCCTCCTGAGGCTCCGGCAGGTCCGGCCGCCGCGGGCTCTCTGCTCCTTCCCTGCTTCTTCCCCTTCCTCCCCCAGGAACCCACTCCCTGCCGCCATTTCCCTGCCTCACGCCTCCCTGCCTCACGGAGGGGGAGAGGAAGGAGGCCACTCAGCACTCTGGCCCCTGGAGACCCCAGTAGGTGAGCTCGGGCTGGCCCGAGAAGTGACCCCAGGAGGCGAGACTCCGGCAAGGAGCCTCCTCTGATGGAGCTGGGGCCCCATGATCACTCCCCAGAGACCGAGGATGCAGTTGCTTTTCCATGTTTTTCAAATAAACGTTTTATTTTGGAATAATCTTACATTTCCAGAAAAGTTGCAATACCGAGGCACAGTGCACTCCTACACCAGCCCCGCCCCTGTTAACATCTCACGTACTGCAGTGCCCATCACACCCAAGAAACCGACACTGGCACACCGCTGACAACGGAACTGCGAGCTCTTTTGTATTTCACCAGGTTTTCCACTAACACCCTTTTCTGTTCCAGGATCCAATCCGGGATACCACCTTGCATTTGCAGATAAGATTTCTTTTCCATTTATTCATCGTGTTAAAATGCACATAAAATTTACCACCTTAACCATTTCCAAGCGTACAGTTCAGTAGTATAAAATACAACCATTGCCACCATCCACCTCTACAACTCTTTTCATCTTGTAAAACCGAAACTCTGTCCCCACTGAACACTAACTCCTCCCCCTCCAGCCCCTGGCCCCCACTGCTCTTCTGCCCCTATGAATCTGACTCCCCCAGGGACCTCCTGTAAGTGGAATCACACAGTATTTGTCCTTCTGTGACTGGCTTGTGTCACTCAGCACAATGTCTTCAAGGTTCATCCCCGTTGCAGCATGTGTTTAGGAAATCCTAAAAGGATTTCCTTCCTTTTCAGGCCTGAATAATATGCTATTGTATGCACAGACCAAGTCGTGCTTGTCCATTCATCCATGGACCGACACTTGGGTTCTTCCACAATTTTAGCTATTGTCAGTAATGCTGCTATGAACATGGGTGCACAAATATCTCTTTGAGGCCCTGTGTTCAATCATTTTGCGTCTATATCCAGAAGCAGAGTTTCTGGATCATATGGTAATTCTACTTTTAACTTTTTGAGGAATTCCCATACTCTCTTCCACAGCAGCTGCACCACTCTACATTCCCACCACCAATTGCAACTTCTCCTCGCCAACACTTGTTTTCTCTTCTGTTTTTTGGAAGCCGCAATCCTAATGGGTGAGGTGATATCTCACTGTAGTTTTGACTTGCATTTGCCTGATAATCAGTGATGTTGAGCATCTTTGCATGGGCTTCTTGGCCATTGGTATGTCTTCTTCGGAGAAATGTCTATCCAAGTTTTTTTGCTCATTTCTGCATCAGGTTGCTTGTTTCTTGCTGTTGAGCTTTAGGAGTTCTCTATATATTCTGGATACTGATCCTTTATCAGACATACGATGTGGAAGGAAAATCAAAATGGAGTCAGTGTTGCTCAGAGAGCCTCTCAAACAGAGCCAGGAGGCCACTGAGGACGGACCTTACGCTCCTCTCAGCCCGGACGGAATCTGACCCTGTGACCACGTCCTGTCCTGATGAAGGCATCCAGGACACCTGCCAGAAACTCAAGATACCTGTGGGACCCAGACCCTAAAACAACTCGTGACAGCCATCCCTTAAGGACAAATATTTCCTTTCTTGCGTCAGAACTCAGCCTCGCGGCTTTCGCCTTTATTATAAGGCCCCTGATTCTTTCTCTTCCTCGGAAAGCTCTTTCGGTTTTACCCAAATCTGTGTCTCCCAAGCTGCAATTCTTAACACCCCAAATAAACTCTTTTCTTATCTGCAGCCTCCTGCAGTTCTCTTTTTGGTTGATAGTGATTTGAAAATGTCTTCTCCCCTTCTGTGGGTTGGCTTTTTACTCTGTTCAGTGTCTTTTGATGTACAAAATTTTTTAATTTTCATGAGTCTAGTTTATTTTTTTCATGTTACCTGTGCCTTTGGTGTCATATCCGAGAAATCATCACCAAGTCCAATGTCATGGAGCTTCTGTCCTATGTTTTCTCCTAAAAGTTTTATTGTTTCAGGTCTTACGTTTAAGTCCTCGAACGATCTTGACTTAATTTTTGCATACGGCGTTAAAAAAGGTCCAACTTCATTCTTTTGCACGTGGATAGAGGATGCATTTGCTTTTTTGATGAAACAATATGGGTGTGTTCAAAACAAAGGGACACTGGGGCCAGAACACAAAACAAACAGAAAGAGGGCAGACCAGGCAGAGAAAGACACCAAGAGCACACGGCCTGGCCCAGACCCCTGGAGAATCCCTAACAAACAAAGGAACTTAGAAGAGAGGAGGGGCGGGGAGGGGAGCCTAAACACCAGAACCACAGTTCACGCTGTCAGTCCCCTGCCTGTGCTCTCGAGGGGAGGCAAACTGTCTTTCCCAACTGATCCACAAGGTTTTCTTTCTGCCAAGATGGCCTGGGAGTGTACCTCCTACCCTCTCCTCTCCAGGCCCAGAGGAAGGAGTGGCTCCAGGTAGGGAGCAGTGCCCAGCAGGCACAGTGGGCACTGGTGGGGCATGAGGCCCAACCATCCAGTTGCCTTGAGAGTAGTTAAAACAAGTTGATTCTACTGAATTGGGCCTTGGACGTTGACCACGTGGGAGAGTTAAGTTTAAACACACTGAAGGGATGGTACTGTGTGTATTTCGTTGCCTATAAACTACAGTAAGAGGAGGCCACCTAGAAATCATAAAGAAAGGGCATTTACATCTGGCCTCCCCAGGTGTGAAAAAAGCAAAGGCAATTCCAACTGCACCTGGAGGCAGGACGCTCCTGGAGGGTGGCTTTTTCTCACAGGAGAGGGCAGCTTCCACCGGAGCCCCACCGTGTGATCCCGACCAGGGAGGGGCTCCGTGACCAGGGGCCCCAACTTCAGCTCAACCTCCAGCATCAGCGGGGTCGGCGGGAGCCTGCACGCAAAGCAATGCGCAGCAGATGGTCCACTTCAAAAAGACAGACCCCAAGAGTGCAGACGAAGAGCTCCAGAAACCTGTTTTTAAGACTAGTTAGCACAACCGCGGGCCTTCGCGAGGACTGCTGTGCAGGGCACCAGCGCGCGGAGCGCGCGCCGCAGAGCCCGGTGCGCAGGGCGTGGCGCACACCGGGTGACAGCGACGGGAGGTGGGCGCACACCCTGGGGGCGGCAATGCGTCCAGACAGGTCCGGCCTCTCAGAGCCCCTGCCCAGCCTGCGCCCTCTCGGCGCTCCGCAGTGAGGACTGAGGAGGGGGCCCCGCGCACGCGGGACAGTAGGGCCCAGGCCGGCCCGGACCGTGGGTCCCCGCGTAAGAGGCGTAGTGGGGGTGGGTCCCGGCGAGGGAAGAGGTCCTGGGGAGAGGCGGTCCCAGAGAGGGACTGGGGACGGGGTTGCGATGTCAGCGGAGGGAGAGGGTCGCAGCCAGGGGGGCCGGGCTAGAGGCGCCCGCTCTTCGGGACTCGGCCCACCGGAGGGGTGGAGCTCGGACCGCGGAGGAGGAGTCTGGGCGGAGGGAGCCGGGGGGCGGGGCCCGGGCAGGGGCGGAGCTCGAGGGCGGGGCGGCCCCGGGGGCGGGGCCTGGGCGGAGGGCGGGACTGCGGGGGAGGGGAGACTAGCGGAGCCGGGCGGTGCGGGGAGGAGGGGCTGGGGGTGGAGAGGGGAGTGGGGAAGGAAGGCGGGGAGGCCTGCCGGCGCCGCTGGGCCTGGGCCCCGGAGGCCGGCGGCGGAGGGCGGCGGGGTCCGGGGCACGGGGGCGGCGCGGGCGGGGGGGCCGAGTCCGGGGCCCGGCCCGCGCCCGCCGGCCCTTACCTTGGGCTTCTCCTCGGACATGGCTGCGCGCGGCGGGCGGCGGGGCAATAGACAGCGCCGAGCGGGCGACTCACGCTCTCGGCCCGCCGCTCTCCCGCCGCAGCTGCTCGCGGGGCCGCGCTTTGCCCCCAAATCCCCGCGCGCAGGTTGGCCGGCGCGGGTCACGCGGTGGGGCGCGCGTGCACGAGGCGCGCTCCCGGGCATTGGGCGCGTGCCCGGCCGGCCGAGGTTCCTGGCAGTTTCAAATGCGTCAGCTGGCTGGACCCGCGCAGTCCGGCGTCCGTACTTCGGGGGGCGCGCTGGAAGCCGCGGGAACACAGGGCACCTAGGGTCGTGGGGCACGGGGGGAGCTGTGTGGGTGGGACGTGCTGGGACCCCAAGGGTGCACGGAGAGCCAGGCCATCAGCCCTACAGGTGCGGGGTCGGGGGCAGGCCTGACACATTATCTTGGCGCCTGAGAATGGCCCGCCCGTCCCCCGAACTGGCCCCTCACCTACCGCATCTCCACCAGCTGAGGCCGGGTGTAGCCACTGGCTTCCTCTGTGATGAGTGCGTCTCACAGGGAAACAAGGAAAATAAAGCCAGCCGGGTGAACTACCTCCAGTGGCCCCGGTGGACGTGCGTGAGAGAGAGCTGCCCCGGGGACGACCCCAGGTCTAGGAAAGGCTCGGTTCACCTTCACAGAGGAGCCAAGTGTCCTGAGGAAGTGGGGGTGAAGGAAGAAGGCCTACCAGGCTGACCCACCGGGCAGCTCCGTCCACTAAGGACACACGGCACGGGTTCATTCAGTGAGGCCACACAAGCTGCAGCTGCTTCCACCCAGAGCTCCCAGCGGACCGAGGCCTAAACGGGGCTTTTCCAGGAGGGGGTCAGGGAGGTGGAAGGTCTCCCACTCCGTCCACTTCTCACTCTGCGCTTAGCCAGGCCGACTCTGTGCGGCTCCTTTGTCTCCCCTTGTCCAGCCCCCTTTGGGGCCTTCCGAGCCCAGCCAGTGGCAGCTGAGCATCTGGGGAAGACAGCGACCTAGCCCACTGGGTTCAGCTCATTTCCTGTTAACACTGAAAGGCCATAGAGTCAAGTTTTCACGGGCCTTAATTTCACAAACCAATTTTGACGCTTCAGAATTCACTTCCTGGGCTAGAGGCACCATTTAGGAGAGGGGAATGGGGCCCCCAGAATGGAGCTGCCATGTCACAGGCTGACGAAGTCTGTCCATTGAAAGTTCTGGTCAGAGCCGACCTCCGTCTCAGCCGGGTCCAAGGGTTTGGTCTCCTTCACCCTGGACTGTGGTGCCTCTAGCAGGGCATCCCCAGTCACAGTGGCCAGCTCGAGCTGTGCTTCCTGGAGAGGGGAGTCTCCAGGAACTGGCCCCTTCCAGGACAGAGGTGGACAATGGGAACCACCACCACCACCCCAAGATTATTGGCTGTGGTGTAACTTCAGGTAGGCAGAGCTTGGACCCATCATCCATCATCGACTCTAAGACGTCAGCAATTATAAAACATTGTTTGATTTGTGTTTGCGGTACGCGGGCCTCTCACTGCCGTGGCCTCTCCCGTTGCGGAGCACAGGCTCCGGACGCGCAGGCTCAGTGGCCATGGCTCACGGGCCCAGCCGCTCCGCGGCATGTGGGATCCTCCCGGACCGGGGCACGAACCCGCGTCCCCTGCATCGGCAGGCGGACTCCCAACCACTGCGCCACCAGGGAAGCCCCAACATTGTTTTACTTAACACACACATTAAGCTATGACAGGTTATGATGCAAGACACCCCAATTAGAGTTGATGAAGTACAGTATCTAAATGTGTTACAAGAAGGAATTAAACTGTGGTTGATTCATATAGCGAAAGGCTAAGCCACTATTAAATGTGTAAAAAGAAAGAGTAGTTGACGACAGTAAAAGATGCTCACACGTTATGTGTTTTTTTTAAAGCAAATTATAAAACTATTATGGTTTTGAACAACAAGAAAATCTGTATAAAATATTTTGAAGACACCCGATAACTGCCAAAACAGAGAAGACTTTCTTGAGGAGCGAAGATCCCAGAAAGAAGGGACGTGGTTTTCCTTTTGAGATATTTAGCGATTAGTATGATGTTTTAGTCAGCTCAGCAGCCGTAACAAAATACCACAGACTGGGCAGCTCAAACATTCTCTCACAGTTCTGGAGGCTGGAAGTCCAAGATCAAGGTGTGGGCAGTATGGGTATCTCCTGAGGCCTCTCTCCTTGGCTTGTAGATGGCCGCCATCTCCCCGTGTCCTCGCATGGCTTTCCTCTGTGTGTGCAGGGGAGGGGGAGAGGGAGCGGGAGGGAGGGAGACACACAGTGCAGTCCCTAGTATGTGCAGCACACAAGAAGCTGAGACACTGAGCACAGCTTTTGAGTCTCATAGGATGGGGAGACAATGATTGGGCAGGACCGACTGCAAGATAAACTGGTCGGGGGGCTTTGATAATAACCTGGACCTTCAGCTGGAACACTGAAACCTACAACAAAGGAGTGAGGCTGAGGTGCAGATCAATCCTCACAGACTGAAACCCAGCATCCCAACGGCTCGCTCCCAAACTGCACCAAGCTGACCTGCTCTCCTTCCCGTTGCCAGCCTGAAGCCAAAGGAAACCTCTGGAGGACAGCAGCATCACCTGGGCCTCAGGTTAACTAAAACATCTTCACAGACAATATCCAGAACAGAATAAAACTTCACAAAGAAAAGCAGAAAACAAATGATCCAAAACCAACGGAAGAAATATGTGTATATTAGTAATCCACAGGAGAACAGTATATTGGCATCATTAGATAGATTTTTAAATAACTCTAACATGTTCAAGGAAATAGACTATGAGATGGAAATTTTCAGCAGATAAGTGAAATCTATAAAGAAATGGAAATTTGAAAACAAATACAATCACTGACACTATGAATTCAGTAGATGGGTTTAACAACAGATTAGACACAGTGGAAGAGAAGATTATGAAATGGAAGGTAGGTCAGAAGAAAACAGAAGCAGAGGGAGAGGATTGTCCCAAGGATAGGAGAAATAGCTTTCAAACCACTGCAAGAACAATGCAACAACAAAACTCAACCAATCTGACAACGTCATAAAAACAGATAAAAGGAAACAATAGAAATAACAGGAGACATTTATGTAGCACTTATGTGACCTGCACTCTCATACCTTCATAAACATTAATGGAAGGAGGTAGGTACCATTATTGTACCATTTCACAGATATGGAAGCTGAGGCACAAGTTTCACATCCAAGTTTACCTGGTTACTAAAAGCAGCAGAGCAAGGATTCAAGCAAAGGAAATTATACCAGCTCTACAACAAGAAAGTAGAATAGAGCATACAAAAAATAAGATAGTAAGGATAAGTAGGGCTTCCCTGGTGGCGCAGTGGCTAAGAATCTTCCTGCCAATGCAGGGGACACGGGTTCGAGCCCTGGTCTGGGAAGATCCCACATGCCACGGAGCAACTAAGTCCATGCACCACAACTACTGAGCCTGTGCTCTAGAGCCTGTGAGCCACAACTACTGAGCCCGCGTGCCACAACTACTGAAGCCTGCGAGCCTAGAGCCCTTGCTCCGCAACAAGAGAAGCCACCACAATGAGAAGCCCGCGCACCACAACGAAGAGTAGCCCCGCTCGCCGCAACTAGAGAAAAACCCATGCGCAGCAATAAAGACCCAACACAGCCAAAAAAAAAATCAATAAAAATAAATAAATTAAAAAAAAAAGACTTTGCCTTTAAAAAAAAAAGAATAAGTAAAGACCAGCAATCATACTAGATATGTATGGATTAAATTGTTCTATTTAAGGACAGTGGCTCCCTACGTGGGTCAAAAAGATACAACTATGTTTTCTTCTACTGTAGAGAAAGGGTAAAAATAAAAGGCAAAAATGCTATAGCTTATAACAGTTTTCATATCAGATGAAATACATTTCAAACTGCAAAGCATTAAATGGACAATGAGAGATATATTACATTAGTAATGGGTCCATGCCACCAAGAGGCAGGTAGAAAAATGCAAATAGGGTCTCACTCTGTTTTTTTGATGTTTAACAGCTGACATCTTTAAAGCCTCATCCCTGCCTCTTTTCTTTCTTCCCCACATCTTAGCACGCAGACAAAGACTAGGCGCTGCCTCCTTTGGTACCGGTGGGAAATTCAAACCACTCAAGCACCTGCCCATGCAGAAACCCTCACCAGGGCCCCGCCCTCGCACAACAGAAGCCCCAAGTGCATCTCCTTTCCTGGCTCTCAAGCCATTTTCAGGCCAGCTTGGGAGGCCTGCACTGCTCTCCCTAGAAAGCCTCCTTATGTGAGGGGTGAACATTTCCATACCCTCTTGGGGTGTGCGTGCGCGCGCGTGCATGTGTTGTCACCAGTCTTGACAACTGGACCAAATTTTGGGTGAGGTTCCCTCTTCTTTCTGAAAGGTGTCACAATGGCAAACACTCAGTAAGCATATAGAAGATCTGCATAACATAATAAGCTCATGAAAACGCACAGAGAGAAAGAATTTGGAAACCAATGAAAAACTTATGTAATATTTTTAATCACCTGTGGAATATTTACAAAGTTTGAGCACATATTAGGTCTTTAAGAAAACCTCATTAAATTGTAAGAAGCAAAATCATACAGAGGGAGAGTTCTGCCTAGGATGTAGAAAGCTGGAATGCTCATTACCGCTGTCTAAAAACAAGAAAAGCTGGACAACCTCAAAATCACAACTTTTCCTAAACCTATCAGAAAGCTGGGATTTCGGCTTCCTTGTCTTTAAGTTTTGGGTCCTCTCCCTAATCTGCCTGCTATTATTAAGCTTTCAGAGTCTCAGACAGTTGCTTGCTTTGTCTTGTCCACACCAGAACTCTCTCCATTTTTGAAGGTTTTCTGAGTATAGAAATCTGACCTTAGGGACTTCCCTGGTGGTGCAGAGGTTAAGAATCCACCTGCCAATGCAGGGGACATGGGTTTGATCCCTGGTCTGGGGAGATCCCACATGCCTCAGAGCTACTGAGCCCACTTGCTGCAACTACTGAAGCCCGCCCGCCAAGAGCCTGTGCTCTGCAACAAGAGAAGCCACCGCAATGAGAAGCCCGCGTGCAGCAACGAAGACCCAACCCAGCCAAAAATAAATTAAAAATTCAAAAAAAAAAGAAAGAAATCTGAGCTTAAAGCCTTTAAATGTATCATTTCACTGTCCTTAGACAATATCTGGCTTTCAGTAAGTAATTACAAGACACAAAAAAGAAGGACAAACCCCCCACAATCAAGACATGAAAATCAAAAGAACCAGACTCAGATGTGACTCAAGTGCTGGGATTGTCTGACAGGATTTACGTTAAGGCTCTAGTGGGAAAGATAACATGAAGAAAAGGGCGGGGAGACTTTCAGCACCGAGACGGAGACTCTGAGGAAGAGGCCAGTGGAAACGCTGGAAGTAAAAACGGGGTAACGGAGATGAAGAATGCCTTCAACAGGCTCACGAGTAGACTCAGCACAGATGAGGAGAGAATCATGAGCTTCAAGATAAGACCGTGGAAATTACCCAGACTAAACAAAGAGGAAAGGTGGACCCCAACCTGCCAACAGAGCAGAGCAAATGGAAGCCCTGGAATAATTTCCACTGGTCTAACACATGTGTAATTGGAGTCACAGGAGGAGAGGAGAGAGTGGGCAGGAGAAATGTTGGAAACAATAATGGCTACAAATTTTCTAAAAATAAAGACACCACAGCACAGATCCAAATTCAGAAGGATTTAAAGATATACATTTAATAATATATATAATAAATATACAAAAGGCACAACAAGACACATCATATTCAAGTGATGAAAACCAAAGACAAGGAAAACACCTTGAAGGTAGAGGGGAAAAAAAGACACAGTACATGCGCAGGAACAAGGATCAGAATCACAGAACACCTGGTGCAGAAACGATGCAAGCTGAAGACGATGAGGACAAAGACGTGATGCCTCCACACACATGAAGCTCGGGTCTCTATACTCAGCAAACCAGCCTTCAGAAGCCAAGGAGAGACTTCTGGTGTGGACAGGACACAACCCTCCGAGGACTCTGAAAGGTCAGTCATAGCAGGCAGCTTAGAGAGCAGACCCCAAACTTAAAGACCTGATGGGGAGACTTTCCAAGTGTTCCTCCTCTTTCATCGGCCAGCTTCGACCAGAGGAAAGGAGACCCTGCGAGCCAAAGCATGCGCGCGAGCCCAGGTTTTGGTTGGTTGGTTGGTTGGCTGGTCTTGTGTTTTTTACTCACCGGATCCTGTCCTGAAGAGACCCCGATCCTGGAGCTGCACTGTGGCCGTAGGCCAGGCACCCCACACCTCAGGAGAAAACCCATCCCTCTGGCCACAGAAACCGGGAAAAGGGGTCCTGTGATCCAGAGAGTGTCGGGGGTCCTTCATTTTATCCCTCTTCCCTCCTTGCCTGGCCCTCAGGCAGCCCCAGTCACACGACCCCACCGGCCCCTCCCCTAGGCAGGCGGGGCCCCTCCGC